ACCTGTGTTTTATTGACTATGCAAAGGCATTCGACTGTGTGGATCATAACAAATTATGGATAATACTGCAAAGAATGGAAATTCCAGGGCACTTAATTGTGCTCATACAGAATCTGTACATAGACCAAGAGGCAGTCATTCGAACAGAACAAGGGTATACCGTGTGGTCTAAAATCAGGAAAGGTTTGCATCAGAGTTATATCCTTTCTCCATACTTATTTAATCTGTATGCTGAGCAAACAATCCGAGACACTGGACTATATGAAGAAGAATGTGGCCATTAGGATTGGAGGAAGGCTCATTAACAACCTGCAATATGCAGTTGACACAACCCTGCTTGCTGAAAGTGAAGAGGACTTGAAGCACTTACTAATGAAGATCAAAGACTACAGCCTTCAGTATGGATTATGCCTCAACATAAAACAAAAATCCTTACAACTGGACCTATAAGCAAAATCACGATAAACGGAAAAAATACTGAAGTTGTCAAAGATTTCATTTTACTTGGGTCCACAAACAATGCCCATGGAAACAGCGGGAAAGAAATCAAACGACGTATTGCACTGGGCAAAACTTCTGCAAAAGACCTCTTTCAAGTATTGAAAAGCAAAGATGTCACTTTGAGGACTAAGGTGCGCCTGACCCAAGCCATGATATTTTCAAGCGCCTCCTATGCATGTGAAAACTGGACAATGAATAATGAAGACCGAAGAAGAATTGATGCCTTTGAATCATGGCGTTGGTGAAGACTACTGAATATACCATGGACTGCTAGAAGAACGAACAAGTGTGTCTTGGAAGAAGTACAGCCAGAATGCTCCCTGGAAGTGAGGACAGCAAGACTTCGTCTCACGTACTTTGGACATGTTATCAGGAGGGACCAGTTCTTGGAGAAGGATATCGTGCTTGGTAAAGTAGAGCGTCAGCGAAAAAGAGGAAGGACCTCAACGAGATGGATTGACATAGTGGTTGCAACAATGGGCTCAAACATAGCAATGATTGTGAGGACGGCACAGGACTGGGCAGTGTTTCATTCTGTTGTACATAGGGTCACTATGAGTTAGAACCGACTCTATGGCACCTAACAACAATTAAATTATTAAACTATTATTATTAAATTATTATTAAATTATTTTATTGCAGTAGTTATTGGGTCTCTCCTCTGGTAGCCTGCATACTCCGTTAGGCCAGGGACTGGGTTTTAGGTATCTTTGTTTCCTCATTACTTAGTTCAGTGTCTGGTATAGAGTAGGTGTCCAAGAGATATTTAAATGAATGATAAAGAAAATCAACTTACATTGATTTTGGGCACAATAGTAATTATGCAATGGACATTCAAATTGATTATTTATATACCTTTTCAGAATGATAAATTATCTTATTGTTAAACTGATTCTCTCTTCAGAACAACTAAATTTATATGCAGGAATTTGCTGAGAGTTACAACCAGGGATAGATGCACTCAACTAATAATTCAGTTTGATCTCATTAGCCATAATATTTTTTCCATGTAGGCACAGTCATACATATAAGCAAGCTTGCAAAATTTTATTTTCAAAGAGAAATTCCAGATGATCGTCTCTGTCTGGTAGGAATCTGGATCTCAGGTCTACACTAACAAAACATGCTGTGCCAAACATCTGTTCAGAATCATCATTTGGTGGAAAAGTTAAGTCCTGGCCTGATTCATTTTCCAGACTGAAAATGGACATCCAGCAACGCCTTTAAGTGTTTTATCAAAGTAGTCCCACTTCACCAAAGGAAGAGATTGCTCATTTCCCCATGAATCCTAAAATCACTGGCAGTGGCCAAGGATATTCAGAAGGCAAGTGCAGGTTGTCAAATGGTCTTCAAAATACCTCACGAAGTTTGAAGAGCATGTCCTGCCATGCTGGTTCTGCTACTCTGCTTGCGTGACAACTCCTCAAGTGGTCAGAGGTTGTAGAGTGGTTGTGAATGAGTGCCTTCTAGGTAATCTGATGGAAGATATAGCACTTGGGAACAAGAGTTCATTAGCACCCAAAGAATAAAAGATTTGGAACTGATCATCCACTTTAACTTGATATCATTCCAAAACTACCAAATCATGCCATCTGTTTATTTTAGTGTTGCTTATACTTCACTGATTACCTAGTCATTTACTGTCAAAGTTATTTGCTCTCGAAGACAACATATACACACATTTTGCGATAACACTCATCTTACGGTGGAATTAATTATTTAAAATGTTTCCTTATTTCTTTTGAAATGAGGACAGTAAGGTGGTGTCACCTCTCCAACTATATTCTTTTAGTAATACAAAACCCTCTTAGTCTATTTATTCTCCTACAATTCTCTTTCTCATATGTTCAGGTTTATACGCATTGCTTTTTTTTTGTTTTTAGAATCAAAAAAATTAGTTTATTGTAGTAAAATATATACAACATAAAATTTACCATTTTAACAATTTAAGTATACAATTCTGTGGCATTAATCACACTCATAGTGTTGTGCAACCATCAACCCAAACAGAAACTCGGTACCAATTAAGCAATAACTCCCCTTTCTCCTCCCCCCGCCCCCCAGCTCCTGGTAACCTCTAATCTTCTTTCTGTCCCTATGAATTTGTCTATTCTAGATATTTAATATAAGTGGACTCATACAATATTTGTCCTTTTGTGACTGGCTTATTTCACTTAGCATAATGTTGTCAAGGTCTGTCCATGTATCAGAACTTCATTTCTCTTTACGGCTGCATAATATTCTATTGTATATATAGACCACAGTTTGTTTATTCATTCATCTGTTGATGGACACTTGGGTTGTTTCCATCTTTTGGCTACTGTGAATAATGCTACGATGAACAATGGTGTACAAATACCTGTTTGCATTCCTGCTTTTGATTCTTTTGGGTATATACCTAGGTGAGGAACTTCTGGATCATATGGTTATGATACAGTTCTATGTTTCTCTTACTGAGGAACTGGATAATGGCATCACTTTTATTGTTGAAAAGAAAAGCACAACAGCTAGCAATGCAATCATTTGAAGCTATATTTTAAGACACTATGATCAGTAGTCTGGCCAGATTAGTGACAAAATGGATCCTACTCTCAAGAAGGAGAATAAAAGTGAGTATTTATTCAATCAATCATTTTTTAATATCAGCTTGGATTCACAGATATTTATTAAAATAAATATAAAATAACTTTCGGTTAAAATCCAATTCTACATTATATTTTGTTGCTCAATTTTCCAGCCTTGGCCATTAGAGCTGTTTCAGTTGGTTCCTCTGTCCTTTTGACATACCTCCACCATAGTGGCTTTTGTTGTTTTTTGTTTAGCAATTCCCCACTTTCTGGATCTAAAAATGCCCTAGGCTCTTGTAAAGTCCCTGTCCCAGGCCTAGAATCAGTCATTTCTCAAAGAAATATTGGTCCCTTTTACTGGAAAACACTATCAGAAACTAAGATCTGGGTGATGGGTGTGCTCGTTGCTACTGGTGAGTTGCTTCTAGGCCCTTTCAGAGCTTGCAAATATATGTGTGTATACTAACCTGTATATACACACATATCTATAATTATTCATGTGTATCTTTATTAACCACCACACACCTGTCAGTTTATTGTACTGTGGTGGCTTGCATGTTGCTGTGATACTGGAAGATGTGCCATCAGCATTTCAAACACTAGCAGGGTCGACCATGATGGACAGGTCTCAGTGAGCTTCCAGACTAAGACAGACTAGGAAGAAGGACCTGGCGATCTACTTCTGAAAAAACTGGTCAGTAAAAACCTTATGAATAGCAGTGGAACACTGTCTGATGTAGTGCTGGAAGATGAGACCCTCAGGTTGGAAGGCAATCAAAATACAACTGAGGACAAGCTGCCTCCTCAAAGTAGAGTTGACCTTAATGACGTGGATGGAGTCAAGCTTTTGAGACCTTCATCTGCTGATGTGGCATGATGCAAAATGAGAAGAAACAGCTGCAAACATCCATTAATAATCAGAAAGTGGAATGTATAAAGTATGAATCTAGGAAAACTGGAAGTTGTAAAAATGAAATGGAACACATAAAGATCAATATCCTAGGCATTGGTGAGCTGAAATGGACTGGTATTGGCCATTTTGAATCAGATGATCCTATGGCCTACTATGCTGTGAACGACAGATTGAAGAGGGATGCTGTCGCATTCATCATCAAAAAGAACATTTACAAAAAGATCTACTCTGAAGTACAACACTGTCGGTGATAGAATAATATCCACATGCCTACAAGGAAGACCAGTTACTATGCCTATTATTCAAATTTACGCACCAACCACTAATGCCAAAGATGAGGAAATTGAAGATTTTTACCAACTTCAGTGGTCTGAAATTGATCAAAATGTGCAATCAAGATGCACTGATAATTACTGGTGACTGGAATGCGAAAGTTGGAAACAAAGAAGAAGGATCGGTAGTCGGAAAATACGGTCTTGGCGATAGAAACTATGCAGGAGATCACAGAATTTTGCAAGACCAAGGACTTATTCACTGCAAATACCTTTTTTTCCACAACATTAATGGCAACTATACACATGGACCTCACCGAATGGAAAACACAGGAATGAAATTGACTACATCTGTAGAAAGATGCCATGGAAAAGCTCAATATCATCAATCAGAACAAGGCCAGGGGCGGGCTGTAGAACAGACCATCAATTGCTCATAGGCAAAGTAAGCTGAAGTCGAAGAAAATTAAAACAAGCCCACGAGAACCAAAGTTCCCACCTGAATTTGGAGCCCATCTCAAGATTAGATTTGATGCATTGAACACTAATGACCAAAGACCAGATGAGTTGTGGGATGACATCAAGGACATCATACATGAAGAAAGCAAAAGGTCATTAAAAAGACAAGAAAGAAAGAAAAGACCAAAATGGATATCAGAAGAGACTCTGAAACTTGCTTTTGAACTTCGAGTAGCTAAAGAGAATGGAAGAAACGGTGAAATAAAAAGCTGAACAGAAGGTTTCAAAGGGTGGCTCGAGAAGACAAAGTAAAGTATTAGAATGAAATGTCCAAAGATCTTGAATTAGAAAACTAACAGTGAAGAACATGCTTAGAATTTCTCAAGCTGAAAGAACTGAAGAAAAAATTCAAGCCTGGAGTTGCAATTTTGAAGGATTCTATGGGCAAAATACTGAACGATGCAGGAAGCATCAAAAGACCATGGAAGGAATACACAGAGTCACTGTACCAAAAAGAACTGATCGACGTTCAACCATTTCAGGAGGTGGCATATGATCGAGAACCAATGGTACTGAAGGAATAAGTCCAAATTGCATTGAAGGCATTGGCAAAAAACAAGGCTCTAGGAACTGACAGAATACCAACTGAGATGTTTCAACAAACATATGCAACACTATAGGTGCTCACTCGTCTATGCCAAGAAATTTGGAAGAGAGCTACCTGGCCAACAGACTGGAAGAGATCCATATTTCTGCCCATTCCAAAGAAAAGTGATCCAACAGAATGCAGAAATTATTGAACAATATCATTAATATCACATGCAAGTAAAATTTTGCAGAAGACAATTCAAAAACGGTTACAGCAGTACATGGATAGGTAACTGCCAGAAATGGAAGCCGGACTCAGAAGAGGACATGGATCGAGGGATATCACTGTTGATGTCAAATGGATCCTGGCTGAAAGCAGAGAATACCAGAAAGATGTTTACCTGTGTTTTATTGACTATGTAGTGGCATTTGATTGTGTGGATCATAACAAATTATGGATAACATTGCGAAGAATAGGAAATCCAGAAGACTTAATTATATTCATGAGGAATGTGTACATAGACCAAGAGGCAGTCATTGGAACAGAACAAGGGGATACTGCATGGTTTAAAATCAGGAAAGGTGTGCATCAGGGTCGTATCCTTTCACCATACTTACTCAATTGGTATGCTGAGCAAATAATCCAACAAACTGGTCTATATGAAGAATAACGCAACATCACGATTGGAAGAAGACACATTAACAACCTTTGAAATGTGGATGACACAACCTTGCTTGCTAAAAGTGAAGAGGACTTGAAGCACTTACTGATGAAGAGCAATGACTATAGCCTTCAGTATAGATTACACCTCAACATGAAAAAAAAATCCTCATAATTTGACCTATAAGGCAAATCATGATGAACAGAAAATACTGAAGTTGTCAAGGATTTCATTTTACTTGGGGCCACAATCAACACCCATGAAAGCAGCAGTCAAGAAATCAAATGACGTATTGTAATGGGCAAATCTGCTGCAAAAGACCTCTTTAAAGTGTTGAAAAGCAAAGATGTCACCTTGAAGACTAAGGTGCGCCTGACCCAAGCTATGGTATTTTCAATCGCATCATATGCATGTGAAAGCTGGACAATGAATAAAGAAGACCGAAGAAGAATTGAAGCCTTTGAATTGTGGTGTTGATAAAGAATATTAAATATGCCATGGACTGCCAGAAGAACAAACAAGTTTGTCTTGGAAGAAGTACAGCCGGAGTTCTCCTTGGAAGTGAGGATGGCGAGACTTCGTCTCACATACTTTGGACATGTTATCAGGAGAAGGACATCATGCTTGGTAAAGCAGAGGGTCAGGGAAAAAGAGGCAGGCCCTCGAAGAGTGGCTGCAACAACGGGTTCAAACATAGCAACGATCGTGAGGATGGCACGGGATAGGGCAGTGTTTTGTTCTGTTGTACATAGGGTCGCTATGAGTCAGAACTGATTCAATGGCACCTAACAATTACACCATCTTTATTAAGCTAAACATGAGTTCATACTGATATGTCCAACACTAAACCCGTAACAAATGGTTCATTCTGGCATTCCCTCTTGCTTATCTGTAAATGTAACCTCCCACTCTAACAGTAAGAAACCTGGCTCCCACCATTGGCCATCAAATTCTTATTTGTTCATTCCCTGTATTCATGTAGTATTGTTTATAGCAGTTTCAGAATTGTTAATCCGTACCCCATGAGAAACAACTTTACCAAGTAGATTGACTATAGACACATTGTTTTGTGTTTATATTTACAGTCTCTACTTATTTCCAAAATTATTGAAGTCAGCATCTCTTTTTTCTCTGAGAATTTAATGTAATTAAATTTACTAAAATAAATGTGCATATAGCAGGCATACATGTTAGTTCCTTGAGGGCAAGTGACATAAACTTCATTTACTTTGGTACATTCTACAGTGTCTAGCTCAAAGTAGATGCCAATAAGTTTGCTTTTAAATAACTGAACTCTTCAAGCACTCAGCAACTGTACAAAGTGGGGCTTACCTGCATTGCCTATTT